GTTCCATTTGAGAGGAGATGCTTGCAAATGCATTAGGGTAAAAATCATGCAAATTAATCTGATGAAAAAAATAGGTCCTTGAGCTATTTAAAGTCTGGAAAGGAAGGACACCTGTTAACTGCTTCACATTCATCAAAGAAGGAGGACATGGGGGGAGATGAAGGAGCTTGGCATGTCAAGGCATGTTGTGCTCACCTAAGCTTGCCTGGGTGATCATTAGACCAGTGCATCTGCATTTGCCTTGCTTCTGTATTCATTCTCCTGTGACTCTTGGTATTTAGATTTAAAAGTGATATTTTGTTACAAATAGGGTTTGTCTCTCTGGATCTAGCACAGTGGGTTGGACTTTGGTCCTCATGAAAGCCTATTCTACAAGACTGTAACATAATGCATGCTCTTTCAAAGCATCAGAGGAAGAGGGTTCAATGCAATACTTCAAACCTTAAGAAGATCATATGCAGCCCCGTGTTATAAAATATGCTCCCTCTGTGCCTCCGGGATTATAATTTAGATTTATGCCTTTGAAGGTATGTGCAGTTAAAAACTTCTTTAAGACGTGGACCACAGCTTCCAGCCTGGACAGGCAGCAACAGCAATATTCCTGTAGCACAAAAAGATGTGTGAGGTGCTAACGTGAAGCAGGGTCTGATAGTATCTCAGACAGATATAGACAGACTCGGACGATCTCTCTATCACACCAAGCAGCATCTGCTTCCCAGAGACAGGCCTGTTCCCTTGCTCCATGCCAGTGTGCGGAGGAGGAGGCTGCAAGTCCTTGGATTTCAGGCTGGGCTCTGCAGGAGCTGCATGTGGTTCCCGTTGTTAGCACAGCCCAGATTCATTTCCACTGATCTGCTCATCCTGGGAAGCCTCAGAGGAGCCCCCAGAGCTGCGGAAGATGCGGAAAATCAATTTCATTGGCAAGCAAGAGCCCTAGGAATCTAATGTACTCGCTGTAATCCCGTCCTGCATGGAGCTGGAAAGAGATACCTGTGTGTCATGCCCAAACATAAGCTGGGATTTATAGCTGATTTATAACTAGGAGAAAAATGGGGAAAAAAAAACAAAATCTAAAAATAATAGCTATAGATTTGGGACCTTAAAATGCTACCTTTGGGAATGCCCTGCCCTGAGAGCTGAAACCTACTGAAAAGTATTGAGTTCATGTTAAAAAAAAAAAAAAAGAAATATTTTAAAAGAGATTCCTTTCATTTTCCATCAGAACAGCTGGGACTTTAAGGCTCTGTGGCCATAATTATTGCAGACTTGATACACCTCATTGTAGCAATGTAGGAAAATATCACACAGTGGCAGAGAAAAATAGGGCTGACTTTTCTTCCTTTTAAATCTCAATTAAAAAATACATTGGATGAAATTTCCCATTAGCTGGTACTATTTGTACATCCCATGTTCTTTCTTTAATTAAAAAACATGCTTATTGCAAAACTGCCAGAATCACTTTTACGGTATTTTAATTGTAATGTCTCTGCCTGATTAAAAAAAGAAAATATGAACTAGAAACTGCCTGAAAAAAAGTATCACAATGCACATCCCAAATGGATTAAGCAAAATGGCACAGAAAGCACCGCAATATAGTTCTTAACTGTGGCTACTGACAAGGTTTTCTAAAACAGGTTGGAAGACTAGCTGACACTAGAGATAAGAAAATAAAGGAAAAAAAAGCTTGTTCCTTCTTTAAGCCAATTAATTCCCAGTTGTTATCAGCAGTGACTGAAGCACTAATTATTTGACAAGGGCTTATGCAGGTGTATCAGCTACTGCTCAATGCTTTTTGCTAATAGCAACAAAGTCAAAGAAGAGTCAAGCAAAACCCATATACAAGTTTATCTCCTCCTCAGGACCCATTCTAGTATTATACTGAGTTGATTGTGGATTCTGAGGGATCCAAAATATTGATGGATAAGCCTCACTCTTGGGACTAGGTGTTTAAGATCTGACACTGTCTTTGGGACCTGCTAGGTGTCTAATCTTGCTAGGGATCTGGTAGTTTGAAAAAAGCCTCGATTACCCATGGTAGTGTCCAGACTGGGCGATTTAAGTATCCACTATCAGTTTTTACAGGCCGAAACCAGGGATGATGAGGGTCAGATATCTGTCAAAGCCTCAGCATGAAGTCTGACCATGGAACTGGCTTTGCTGGTTTCAACAGCAAATTGATAAGATGCATCGAAGTGGCAAATCATGCAGGACAAATAGAGATGTGACAGGGGATATCATGGCATTCCTGCAAGTACCTTTCTCAGCCTGTGGAAAGCAAATTTTTGTCTGCCCTGGGTTATCATAAATATTTCTGAACTCATGGTGCTAGGATCATGCAAATAAGTTGCAATCACCTGCTGAAGTTATAGGGATATCTGCAACCAATCTGTCTTGTTTGTCATCCCCCATCTCTACCTTCTGAGCAGTTCCACAATCTGATCATTAAATTTTCCACTGTTGGTAGTGTTCACCTTCCATTCACCAAGGAAGAAAATGATAAGCCTTCATTATAGTGCTCAGAGGTAGCCTGTAGGACCCAGATACCTAATCTTATTTCACTCTTGATTTGGATTCCTAATCTTCTGTCCAGACAGTCTGGTCACTACCAGAGTTTGCATTTTCCCAATTGACACACAGCCTGAGCAGGGCCATCTTAATGCTGCAGCTGTAGGTGACATCCATCCTTGTTATAATAACCTTAAAATAATTTCTACAGTGTTGAAGTCATCAAGGGGACCGGAGAATCCCTGATAGCTGCTATTCAGTATCCCCATGGTGTCTTAAGAACAGAAAATTTTGACAAATGAGCCCATGTAAGTGTGCTGGTTTTGCTGGATACAGCTCCAGGAAAAGGCCAATAGGGTACAACAGAGGAGCAGATTCAGTCACCTCACATTTTCTTTTTTCCTTCTGTAAAGTTTGTTATATCTTCAGCTTGTGCCTGCATTGACAGATCCTGAACCAGTAAAACCAAAGAGAGCAGAACTATAGTTTAATCCCATTCTCTGGCCCCGACCAAGAAAAAAACACTTCATCTTATTCTTCAGTCGAAGCACGTAGCTACACCCACCTGCAGGTTAGGGTTTATCGTCATGCCCATCTTGCACCTGGGGAAACCTGGCAATTACTTGATACGTTCACAGACTCAGTAGTTGCTATTCTAAAGGGATCACCTAACTGTGATTCATCTTAAGATTGGTATCTATAATACTTCAGATGAACAGGTCCTTTGGTGGTGTGTGTTTCTTTCTATCAATACAGAAGGCTAAACAACTCCCCTGGGCTAGATAACTTAGAAAAAAAGGTAAGTTTAGGGAAGATGAATCCCACCCACTCTTAAAACAGGGTAGACCTCCATATGTCTTGACTCCAAACCCTGCCAAGGCAAACAGCTAGCAGCACTCACGTTAGAGGGGGTGATGCAACAAGAAAACTCCAGGAAAGAGTCAATTCATAAATAAATACCCTGTAGGCTTCTACTTTTAAAATGGAACTGCCTATTATTTGTTACGTAGCTATGCTGAAATTAATAGTATGTAGAATATTGCAATGCTGCTTTAATAACTGAATCTATACCATAAAACAAGCTTCTTGGAAAAACTAACGAAGAGGATAAATTATCTGAATGTCAGATGAGCTAAAGTCATAAAGGTACTGCTCCAGACTTCATTAAATTCACCAAGACTTCCCTTTCTGAGTTGTTGCTCATAGATTGTATGTGTTTTTGTGTTGGCCCAGGGAGCTTTTGCTATAACTGTGCACCCTACTTCTTTGCAAAGACAGAGTCTAAAAATCCCCATCCAACTCAGCAGCCAGAAGTCTCCGAAGTCTGAAGCTCTGACCTATCTTATTCGCTACATGCAATAACCACAATGAGGCTTGAAACAATCTTACATCCCATAGATCTAGGATTTATAGCTGTGGGAAGGAAGAAAATCAGACTAATATTTTTCTTTTTTCTTTTTTTTATCTTAACTTGACCTTTTTTAAAAATCTTATTTGATTTTTCCAGTTAAAAATGTTGCCCACTGTAGCAGTTTTGAAGCTCTGAATCTTGACGGACCAAATTCAAAGTTTGGTAGAAATATTTGAACAATATGGATACACTTTCAAATTTTTATCTTTACTAATCATTCATAGCAATATTAAAATATAACCACTGAATGGATGTTTTTCCTCATTGTCTCTTTCCATGAAAACCTGTTATGTTTCACGACATTTTAATATAACATTACTTTTGTCAGTAAGGCAGGTGTAAGTCCTTAAATGCATAGAAAATTATCTTTTAACACTTTTAAACTCCAATCCAACCGAAACTTAAGTGAGAGGTTTAAGTTTAAGCAGGTAAATTCAGCAGAGCAATTCACATGCTTAATTGGGAGCAAGGGCACACAAGTTGGCACAATCAGGGACCTAATTTCCAAGGAAAAAAACTACTTCTGGTACTAGCAAATTATTCCAATTCTTACTCTGACACCAACAGGGCTGCACTTTCTGACTCCGATGCTGCGCCTAACCTCAGGCGAGCGAACCCTACAAACCCATGTCCCTCCCCATAGCTGCTCTGGGTTATTTACTCCCCAGCAGCCCTGCTCTAGGATCTTGGATTATTTATGACATTCTGTAGCTGTTGTGGCCTGTAATTCCGTAGCATCATTAATTTCGCAACGGCTTTTTGCAATGCGCTTTCCTCAGAGATGCCAAAGAAAACAGCGTTGATTATTGTTACCGGCACTGCCGTTATAGCTGAGCACCACTTAGGACAGCAGCAAATAAATACATAAATAGAAGCTTTCCCGCTCATATTGTCATTATGCCTCAAACCGCATAAACGATGCCTTTCGCATCCATGTGAATTAAATGTTACCCTAGCTCCAGCGTGACATACGATGCCCATCATGACATCTCTGGTGCAGGGGCTGGGGAAAGGGGACACCATGGCAATGACAAACTCCAGGCCTGGGATGAAGAAGAGCCCCAGACCCCCCTTTCCTCCAGACCTTTGAGATGCAGCAGGTTGAGGTTGCTGGTGGTGGTGCCCAGCAGCAGGGTCCGGCCTCCTTCTATCGTGACGCTGTCGCCATCTCGCGGTTGGTGGCCAGCAGGCCAGCTGCGGTCCTCGGCCCAGCGGCCACAAAACTGGAGGGGGAGCTGGAAAAGAAGAGTCGGAGAGCTGCAAAATTTACCCTTTCTCACCTTGCGGGGAGCAAGATTGCAGAAGATGCCACATTGGAGGAGACCCCGCGACACGGGCTGCTTTTCCTGCAAGACACTGTTGCAAGGCGAAGAGTTGGAGGATGTTTGGTGTTGAGACACCCGGCCCTCAGAAACGCCTCTCACGATTTGGGGATGCACCTTGTGGTGTACCCCTTGTCCCAGGGTAATGAGGGACTTGCTCCTGGTCTCGCTCTGTCCCCTGGACTGCACATTAAGTCTTGGTAAAGTCATAAAAAAGGCAGCCCAAATAGTTTTGAATTAAAATATCCTGCTTGCATGGTCAATATTTTGTTTTACAGACAATTTCAAAGAGTTTTCTCCTGTCATTCATTCCCATTTATAGACATTCTTCCTTTCAAATGCTTAAATACTTTTTTTAAAAAAACTTTTTAGTATATGCAGAATTCTTAGCACTCCTGCTTTGATGACTGACACGTCAGTTCCAGAGGAAACACAGGCCTTATTAACTTCCAAACAGAAAGCAAATAGCCTCGGTCTTCATGAGCAATGACAAAATGATACTTTCCTGTCACCAGTCCTGGTTCCTCCTCACCTCTGAATGTTAAGGGTCCACTTTGCAGTGAAGCTTTCACTGGTTTCCTGAGGAACACGCATTTATTTGTTGGTGAAGATGCATGCCCCAGTGTGGACTTAGGCATTCATAAAATATTCTTGCTGAATTGCAATTGTGGAATTATATTTCAGCTAGCTAGAACAGTCCCAGCTGATCTGGGAGGAAAACTAGACATGGAAAATTTTGCTGTCCTCACTGGATTTGCTAATCCAAAACAGCAGTGGAATGGAATAACCTCCATACAAAAGAAAAAATATAGTTAGTTCATTTTCAATCAGGACACATCATGTTCATTAAAGCTTTTACTTGAGAGCTGCAGTTAAGGCAAAGCAACACTGGCAGCATTGCAACAGTTACTTTTTTTCAACTGTTGTATTGTCAGCGTTAGCTTTATGTGCCTGATGTTTTATACAGCACTTGTCACAGCACCTAGAGCCTTGAAGAGCTGCAATTTGAAAAAGCGAGAGCTCTGATAAATATTATGTGGTGGCTTCTCTCCTAATTATTTGCACCAGGAAACGAATGATAGTCCCCAGGCTAAAAGATACAACTGGCTTATGTCCATCCTGTCTGCAAGGATCAGGTACGTATGGATCCTGGTGTTTTCTCTCCTCTGTTCTGTGCCTTCATTGCAAAGGGAATTATTTGGTTCAATATAGAACCAGGGAGTGAATTAACATGCATGCAGTGAGAACATCTGGGGAGCTAAGCCCCTGACGTCAGAGGGAGTCAGATAAGCCCTCACATCTGTACACAACTGTTACAGAGAGGGTCGTAAACAGCTTTTTTCTCTTTTTTCTTTTTCTCCATTTTTAAAAAAGGCCATTTAGGACAAACTTACTAGCTAAAAGAATAGATATCTCAAAACAGAATCTTTATAGAGAAGCTGTGGATTACCCTTCATTGATAATACTTCAAACCAGCTTATATACAAGATACACAGGCTGTATGCAATAGATCCACTGAAAAAGATCTACTCTCAGAGCAGGGGAAAGAAGAGAGCACTGTTCCTGCCAAAACACACATTTCCCCAATACACTGCTTAGCAAGCCAACCATAGCACAATATTGCAAATGCCCAAAGCTCCTGGCACAGCCTTAGTGGGTCTCTGTAATGCTGCTAGGACAACACTGGATGATGCCGTTGTTGCAAAATGGTCAGGTTCACAATAACATTTCTTTAAGAAGGTTTATTTTAACTGGATTCTTCTAAGGCAGCCCCCAATTAACTCCAATGGGAAAATAAGGATAAAGAATATTCTACATTGTTGTTCTTGTTAACACCAAAAAACAAAAAAGAAAAGAAAAAAAGGCTTACAAAAATCTTACAAAATTGTACAAAATTGAGTCTTAAAAAAAATGAAGAAAAATAAAATTCTCTTCTGAATTTGAATTTTATTAAGACAACTTCCTGTTCTAACTAGAAAATGCCCAAACTATTCGCTTAGGGTTCTCTCTATAGAATATCAAAATTTATTTTTACACATAACTCTAGAAAACCCAGCTCTCCTCTGGCCCTGCAAGTCTCCTGCCATTTGATATTGGAGAACTTCATCGGTTATCATGTCCCAGCTTCTCTAGCTGCTCAGAAGCCAAAATGGGACAGATCTGATTCCATCCACATTGCTTGATCCTCCTAGACTCCAGCAGTACCTGCATCCTAAGGGTGGCATGGGGTCTTCCCGAGGACACTCTCCTGCTCCTGGGACAGACAGACTCACTTGGGACCCCTCCAAAAAAACAGCTACCTCAAAGGGTTGCATGGACATATTGCAAACACCTCCATCGCGCAGAGACTCCAGACCCCTTCCTTCTGCCCACAGCCAGCTAGAACAAGAACATTCCCCTCCCCATAGGATTATCCTAGAAGCAAGTCTCTTTTTTTTTTTCCTCCTGCTTGGCACCCAGCATTTGCCTTTGCATTTGATGTTATTTAAGCAGTTCTTAGCAACGCGGAGGAGCAGCAACAGCTGCAAGCAGCAGGGTCAGAGCTGAGCGCCCTCCCCGTGCGTGCTTGTCAAATGAACCGCGTGGATGGAGGTTGGAGTGCTGACAAATATACACTCCAAGCCGCCTCTGAGCCCTCTTTTGCACACAGAGTAGTGGTCGAGGCAAATTCTAACCTGAAAACAACCAGGTCTCCATTCTGGTCTCCATGGCCCTCTGCCAAACGTGGAGAAAGTGGAAGAGGTGGAGGTGTATGCTGAGGATCAGGCACTTAAAATTTCTACTCAAGATATTCAACTATAAGAGATTCTGGAAAAAGCAGCTGAGAAGCACTGTCACACCCAAGTTAAGCGTGAGGGCGAATACTCTACTAGGTAGCTAGAAAGATGATTTGGGGGAAATGGGGCTAATAAGACCGTAATATTTCACAGCCACCTGTGTCTCTGCCAGTGTTCTGAACCTGGCCAGCTTCAATTCGATCTGACAGGGGGACTGAAACCTCAAAAATGAAGGGTTATTTTAAGATTCATTAAAAGATTCATTAAAATTAGCAACTTAGAAGCAAGATATGCATCTGGTGCTTTTCCAAAGACATATGTTTGTATATATATATAATCAGCTCCCCACCTGAGCTCCAAAGACATGGACAAAATGTATAAAATGATATCTTAATGGCATACAATAAAAGATGCACAAGGCCCTTGCAAAGCAGTAGATTATCTCCTGCATCCTGCCTACACCCTCTTTTTCAATTTCCGGGCAGATTTCTTTCCAATTTATGCTTTTAGCTGCTGCCATGGTGGCCTCTGTGTCACTGTTAGGGAAATGGCTTGTGTCTGCAACAATCAGGGCCCAGATACAGCAACTGCAAAGATTGAATAATAACACACTTGCATGCCAATACAGGCTGGCAAACAAGGCAAAAAGGGATGGAATTATAAAACTTCTTTGACCAGCCATTCCATTTCTGGACTAAAGCGTTGCTGCTCACCATCACCATGGAGGGACAAGGATAACATTTCCAGTGATGGAGCGCGGCGCGTGGCTCCCCGTGCCGCAAACACGGGGCACCACGTTCCAAAACACTTTAATTCCAGTGATGGATAAGCAGAGCTTGCTTTCCAGGGGGTGAACTCGTGACAGCTCCTCACTTTAATACATCAGGAAAAGATTTACACCGCCCCACACCCAACACCCCTCCACCTGAAGCAATGAAAAATATATATTTGGAGAAGACGAAGGAGGAGGATAGGTATTTTATTATCCTGGGTAGCTTTTACAAGGGAAGTATTTTTAGCCATCTGCTCTAATTATTCCTCCTGTATTGGCCACCATCTTCATGTAACAATAGAAATAATTACCTTCTCAAGCACAAAATATATATATATTTAGAGGAACAAACAAAAGTTGATTATTTTTACCTCCCAGGAAAATAAAAAGAAACAACAAGCTACTTCCTAATGAAGGAGTAATTAGGAAGGTGGGTAAAGCATCTATAATTAGAAAAGACAAATTGGTGAAGGCTCCTCCCTTTTCCTCCCTTGAAAAAGACACAAAACGTTATTTGCAACAGTTAGTGGGGTTAGTATATAATATGATATCCAGTGCCCAAGTGAGCTGGATCTGTCTCTTGGCACCATCACCTGCCACTCTTCATTTTAGCACCTGTAACCCAAGATGCACCTGTGCCAAAATAATGGAGAAACCCTCATTCCAATGATAATATCACCAAGTTTCAAGTATCATGTATAGGTCTGCACAGCCTGTGTTCTTGAGACAAGTGTTCATAGGACGGTCTTTCACCCTGCTTTTATAAGAGCAGACTCTCGTGTGCAGTATAGCACACAGAGAACACAGGAAGTTTGTTTTTTGGATAAAAGTCAAAAGAAAAAAAAAGGCAAACAAAAACAACAACAACAAAGGAATTTTCCATTCTTGGAAACATTCAAGAACTTTTTTCAAAAAAAAAGAAAAAAAAAGAATTTTACTGACAAATCGGAGGCATGAACGGAGGTTCAGCCTCCAACACACGCCATGGCAGAAACCACCATATGAGCGAGCAGACCCTGGAAACCAAACTAGACAGCAAAGATGGAAAATAAGACCACTTTCTTCTGATTACTCGAGAAGAAAATGATACATGAGATGGTGAGAATGACTGCAGTCAATTCACTAGTGATTGTGCATGCTAAGAAAGTAGCTATACATGAATTAAAGGAAAGATGTCCACAGAACTGTACAATGTGGAAAAAAATGAATCATTTATATGAAAAGACAACATTATTCTCAAGCAGAATGGAAACAGTACAGTAGCTATTAATCAGTGGAGGCTGGAAATTATCAGAATACTTCTGGCTATCTGGGTAGTGAGAAACTATGGGAATTTTCCAGATGCATTCCAGATGCAACATTCC